TTCTACCTCAATTCATCCCTCCAGAAAATGGAGGGGTAGTGTCTTTCTGAGTACTTGGAACTCTACTGATTATAAGTTCTACTGTAAGAATAATACTAAACAAGAATTTCTGGACTACCTTACTGGTGATTTTTCATGAAACAATTATGACTTCAGATTATTTCTGCAATACCATTTTCTTCCTAAAAAAGTATGACTTTTAGCCCACACTGAACAGATGTTGTGGTTGGTTTGTTTGTTTTTATAACCAGGAGCAGAGGATTCTTTTCATGGAGGTCTGAAACTTCTTGGCAGGCTGGCACTTCTAACAGAGAAAGACCTTTGGACTGTTAATGGTCTTCCCAATGAACAGAACTCTTCTGACCACTTGCCACTGCTGGCAGAGTTCAGGCTTGTTGTAAGGTAATATCCAAAGCATTTTTTTGTGTAGGTAAATTTAACTTTACCTTGTCTCTTCCTGGTTTTATTTTTTTAAAGGTTAATTGAAGCACTGCTGCTCTGGTGTAAGTTTGCACGCATGCTGATCTGTTACTGTTGTGTAAAGTAGACTTTCTTAAAAAAAAAAAGTTTAAATTGCTTAACGAAGTCTTTAAGGAAAAAAGAAAAGATTTTACATTTGCTTCCTCTTTGATAATGGAAAACATCTGTGCCAGTCTCAAAATGGCATTATTTTTCATGGAGATGCTGTAAATGGTTTTTATTGTAAATCACAGTAAAACTGATTATTCTTTGAGAACTGTGTGCTTCTTCAAAGGGGAGGGAGTTTGTGTGCACCACACTTCATCCTGTGCTGAAAGCAGTGTTCCCAAGCAGTGTTCCCACTACTGAGGGGCTCTGGGGACCCCTCTGTGTAAACACTTCTGCAAAGGAGTTTTGTCAGTTACCTCAGGCTAGGTCAGTGCAGAGGCTGTGGGATTGGACTTGCAAAGGAAGGACACAGCTTTGCAGTAAGGCAAACATTGATGTTCTCACAAGTTACTTTAACTCCTAAAAGCTTTACTATAGGTAGCATTCACTGGAATTTTTTTCAGGTATCTGAAATAAAATCTATGTTTAATCAGAATGAAAACTTAAAGGGAACATAATCAATCTACTGTAGGGGAAAATGTCCTGGACATCTTGAGGCTTCATAGAAACTGAACAACTGGAGGAAGTTTTTTTCCCATGTAGTTCTTGTCAAGCTATATGCTGAAACAAAAGATCCTGAGATATTAAACAATCAAGGTCTTACACTTTCACAATGCACCTATAAACCTTCTGTGCAAAATATTATTTACAAAATTTTTAAAAATTAAAACCCACAACAGACCACAAAGATTGCCTGAATGGGAAGCTTGCAGGGAACCACAAGGGCTGGAAACAAGTCTTATAACTCAGGTTACTACCTGTGGATATGTATGTAAAACTGACTTCAAAGTAACACTTGGAGAATTGCCTTTTAGTGCAGTGCTGGAAAGCCCACACCCTTGTTCCTGGAGTCACATGCAGACTCCAGAAACATTTGTTTTTTCTTCTCCAACCTAATTTTTGGATTTTTCAATCTAGGTTCCTTTCCTGACTGCAGAATTACGACTGTGATTACTTTGTGCTTTGAGAATAATGCAGGAAGTACAGTGGCAGTCATCACAGAACCACCTGAACTGAGAAAGTACACTGCAATCACTGTTACATCACAAAACAGGACTATCTGCCATGAAACTATTCAGGCAGTAAAATGCTTGTTCTACTTCATTAGTATGTTATTACTGAAGGATTATAATAATTTGCTTTCCTTTACAAAAGATGAAACTGTCATCTCATGTTGTTTTCCACCATTTTGATGACAGAAACATGGGGAAAGGGCCAAGTTACTATTTCAGGAGAACAGCAGAAGCTGCTTGACATGATGCAGGCATCAGTGCTGCTAGTTCAGGAGTCTTTATTGTAGGGCTTGGAGACTTGTTTCTGTTTTTCTTCATATAACCCGTTAATATTTAGCTCAGGGGGGGAGGAGGGTAAGGGCTTTATGTTCAGTGATTTCTTTGTAGAATAATGAATGAGGCAGATATTGACCAATGTTTAAACACCTGCTCTAGTTCACTCCTCTTTAGAAAGGACACAGATATTTTCTGGACAGCACAAAAAAGTAAACCTAAGTTCTTTAAAAAAAGGCTACCATGATATTTTATTGAAATCTCATGCTGTGCATAAACATACAAGTGATTAAAAACAAAACCAAACAAAAACAGTCATGCATGTTTTCTAAACTATTTGAGCACTTTGCAGTAAGTTAGAACAGTCACTAGAACCACACTTAAGACAAATGCCATCATAAGCAAGTTTCAAGAGAATATTCAGATGAACTTCAAAACAAGAACCAAAAGCAATTTGTCACATTCCTCTACAGCATTAAAAAGTTTCAGTAAGTCAGAAGTTAAGAGATGGTATCTCAAGTTGTGCTGGACAGTGGTAAAAAATACAGACCAACCACCATTACTTGAGCTGAAGTAAACCACAGTTTCATAGAAAAAAAACCTTGCCACATATCAGATAACCTTGTGCTATAGGATACAGCTGATCAAAGTTTGGTTCTTCACATAATTTTACCCATGAGAAGTCTAAGGGATATACAAAATAAAAATAGTTCAGGTCACAAGACACTGAGCAGCACAAAGTTTAAAACAGAAACTCTGCAGCTGATGTCAAATTACACAAGAATTTCTACCAAAAGAGTATTTTCCTCTCTTCAGTTTCACTCCTGAATGAAAAAAAATTCCCGTTGTGAACAGAGTGAAAAGTTTGCAGGGAAGAGGGATGGGAAAGGCCTCCCTGTAACTGACAGGGTGGTGTATAAAGAGCTGTAATGCATTAAAAGTCTTCTTTCTAGACCTTCTCAACAACTAGCAGAAAACCCTTCCCTGGTTGTAGAAGGTTGCTGGCTCTCAGTGTTGTCTTCCTGTCCTAGGTAGAGGAGATTCATTGACTTTTTTGAGCAACAAGGTCTGCACACAAGCAGTCATCTTCTTATCCACACAGTTGCTGGCTGAGGTGTTTTAGGGACTTAAATCATTCCATTTAAGTTAGCATTATCATCACTGTCTTACTGTGTCCTGTCTTCAGTGAGATCCAAAAAAAGTCATAGCCCAAGAGGGGAGAGGTACACAAGGCCTATGGCAGTATCATTTATACACACAGCTCAAAGGGGAGAGGCTGGACTTGTACAATAATCCAGTTTCTATTCAGGCACCTAATGAAACATTTTCAGGAGTGCAGCACTTGAATGCTTCCAGAGAACTTCACTGCTATGAAGGGCAGACCCCAGGGGAAAGTCTTCCTGCCCCACTTGAGAACACTGCTGTCCAGCACAGGTCTCTAGCTATGTCTGAGAACAAAAGGACTGTGCAGGGAGGGAGCAGACAAGCTTCATTTTCAGCTGTCTCAGATGTACAACTTAATTTATTGCTGAAGTTATTCCCATACAATCTTCCTTATTCAGGAAGGGCTAAGCCATTGTGATGAGACATGGAGGCCAGCAGCAGAGCAGAAGGTTAGCTCCAGCCTGCTGTGTCCAGTCTTACTGTCAGGTGCCAAGGCATCACCATCTGAGACTGCCCAGCCTTCCCACGACAGGGTTTAGAGGGACACACAGATGCTGGAGGAGAAGCACATACACTCAGGTTAGCCGTGCTGACTTGGGTTTTTCTATTGCTCCAGGAACACAAACAAGAATCAAACTGACCAGCAGGGGAACACTTGTCTCTACAAAACAGCAATCTCTACATCTTGTGCTTCGGTGGTGTAGTCCAGAAAGACTAAAAGCTTGTGACAAAGTATAAAAAAAATTACCAAAGTTTAAAAATTCATCAGTTATTATTTTAAAAACCCCAAACCCTCGTTTTGCCCAAGAAGATGTCAGTGTTCAAGAATACACTTGCATATTACTGCTACTTAACATCTTTCAGCAACGTGCACAAAATATCCATACAGGTGGCAGTAAATCATTCAGTGCTGCTTTAATATACCAGAAATGCTGGGAACCAGTACAAATTAGTTACAAAGCAATAATACTGACAGTTTTGCATATCTATTAAGTTTAGTGAGGTAATGTTGATACTTTAAAAAACACATGCCACTTCTGCACTGCTTTTTTATTGCTGCATTAAATATTAATACTGAATATGTTTTTGTTTTTTTTTCTTTAACTGCACCCCAGCACATCTTAACACTAAGAATAAGATTTCTTAGTTATCCCAGTGCTGCTACCCAGCACAATTAAATGCCTGTACAGGGAAATTATATTTGAAGAAACTCTCAGACCACTTGGGTCAGCTGCTATTTGAGAGAGGGGGGTAAAGAAAATCTCATATCCTGGCAAACACAGTATTAGGTTCTCTCTGCTGATGTCTCATCTCTAAATTGAAATAAAATAAATACTGCCACCAAAACAAAATTTCCCCCATTCTATTTTCTAGGTAAAACTGTTATTGTTAGAGTTCACAGGTTAACAAACAGTCCCCTTCCTTCCTCCTTCCACGGGAGTGCAGGTGAAGTGGAGCAGGCAGCACCAGGACGGGCTCCGCGTGGCCGTGGCTGGCTAGATGCGGAGCTGGTAGCCCACCTCGCTGAGCGTGGCCAGCTCTCCTTTCTTGTCCAGCACTGCAGGCCTGCGAGCAGAGGAGGAAAGGGCAGTGCTCAGCAGCCAGCCCCTGCTGCCAGGGCCCTGGAGAGCACAGCTGGCACGGCAGGGACCCTTCACTTCCAAACAGGACCGACTCCATCTCGCGTTCTCTTCGGCGGCACCATCTTGCTGAGTCTGCCACCTGAACTGGTGTGACTGAGCTGCTGGCGTGGGCTGCCTCTGAAGCCAAGCACCAGTGAGGAACAACTCATCCCATACTGGTGGCTGTGATCTGAGCCTGGGAGTGCCCCTCTCCCTCCCACTTGACACAGGGACCTAAACGAGTAGCTGAGACTAGACACATCCTGCCCATGATCTGCTCCAGGGCAGGACTCTGGCTTTTAGATCAGCGTGGAAACAACTGACAGCACACAGGCACAGTGTGTTGTCTCTCTGAACCTGCCTGCTCCTCTTGGCTAGGCCTGTGTGAAAGGCCTCCAAAGAAGAGAGCCTTCCAAACAGAAAGCACCAGATGAACTCCCTTCAGTCTCCAGGTGTCTCATCTTCTGATAGTCCAGCCACTTACCTGAGGCATCACACACTCCACAAATGTTTGCTGCTAAGTCATTCCAGTATACCAACAACCTGAACCAAATGAAACCTTGGGACTGAGCAATCACTCTTTCTATATTTAGCAAGCAATGGAAAAGCTCCTGCAACAAAATTGTTGAACCAAAACAATGCTGATTTATAGACTGTGGAAGTGTCTAATGTGGGAGTTTACTCCAGGCAGTCAGTTATTTTCACACTAAGCTGTACATCTGCTTTTCTGTAAAAAGGCATTGTCTAAAACACACATTTCTCCTCGCAGACCCTACAGCACGCTGCCTTTGCTGGAAAACCACAGCTAAAGCCTGAGGAGTACAACACCAGTTGTACTACCAGAGGTAGCAGCTCGGGTGGTTCCCTGCCTCTCCTCAGAGCTGGCCTCCAGCTCTGGGGCTCACTCTTCTCTCTCCAGGTGGCAGATGTGACCAGTTTGTTGGCAGCCCCAAGGCTGATACCCACCTCCCTGCTGGACACTGCCCGAGCTGCTCTGGGCAGCCAGCACAGCCAAGGCAGAGGCCATAAGGCCAAGGACAGCCTGGCCTGATGTCCTCTGCCAGCAAAAATTCCAAAGTATTTTTGCATTCTTTGATTCAATAAGTGATATTTTTATTCTTTATTAAGAGCAGAGCTGCTAGCACCAGATTTCTGCTGAGAATTTGCACAGCACTTGAGAGCTGGGTATCTTACTATGGACAATGAATGCTCTTCTGTCTAGTCTTACACTGAATGCAACCTGGTTTTCTACCAGTTATCCAAGTAACTCCATTAATATCCCCATCATCCTCTGTGCAGTGCCACCCTGCACCCTACTTCACGTTGGGCACAATCTGTAAGTACTCCACAGGAGTGAAGGTGTCTTCAGTGATCCCTGTCACTCGCAGGAAGGGATTGCACCTGAAGAAATCACTGTAGGGTAGTTTGGATTTTTCCACTTTATTCCTTCAGAGCAGGTGGGATTTGATTCAACAGAAAACAAGCTACAAGCTGCATCCCTCAGAGCTTGCACAGGAGTTGGAGACCATCAAGAGACAGACTGTATGGAAGTTTCCAGTGTCCATCCTTCCTTCCTCAAATTTAGGGATCCTCTTCCCACCCTTCCTCCCTCCATCCCTTTAATTAAAGCCAGAATATGGTTTTAATTAAAGCACACTTGGATGGTTGTACCTTTCCTGATTATCCAGGAGAGCTGGGGAGCTGCTGCACTCCCATGGTCACACACACACTTCCACTCCATGGCGATTCTCTAGCTTGCAGCTACAGACAGACTGTCCTCCATAAGGTTTTAGGAGGAGGCAAGGATTTGTGGGAGCAGAGGCCTGGCAGCCCCCATTCTCCTTGCCTGGCAAATGACCTGGTGTTAAACATCTCCTCTGAAGTGAGTGACCTCTGTCGTGGGCAGCACATCACACCTCCTCTGCAAAGTGGCGATGGGCAGGTGAACAAGCTGCGCACTGCTGCCGGCTGCACCGTACTTACGAGATGTCCCTGATTTTGTACACCCTAATATAATCCTGCCCTCATTGCACATCCCAAATATAAAAGACTACACAGAATTTTCCATTCAGATGCTACCTCAGGCCAGAAGCTCACAGGGCAGTGCTGCTGTGACACAGAGATCTGGTGAACTGACATTTAGGAGCAGAGATCACTTCAGGCTGCTGCACGATGCTCCCTTCTGAGCTCCTGTCAACTCTCCCAAACCCCTCCAGCTCCAGGCACTCCTGCCGAGGGTGACACACTGTGCTGCCTGCTCCAGCACACTGGCTTGTGGTTTACTGCTCCCTCCTGCTTTGGAACTTCAGAAGATGGACAAGTGGACACAATAAAGGTTATTGGCTACCCACCAGATTCACACCACCCTGTATCCTCTTCTATTCATCCTGCCTGTTGGCCACCCTTACCAGGATCCCACCAGCTGTGGGGACAAGAGCACATGGACCACTACCATAGCTCAGTTAACGAGCTGCAGTTTGACTCCACACTAGTCTCCTAGACAGGCACATGCTGCTTGGTGCATCACCATCCATGTCCTGCAACACAACCAACTACCTTCTAGCTCTGCTTCCAGGCTAAAATGCTCCCATGGGCTTGCTGGTGGCCACCACTGGCAGTCACCCAGTAAACTCATCAAGAACCAGGATGAGAAGTTAAAGGGTTAAGACTGTAAAATCCAATTCTGTCCTTAAGCACTGCTTCAGCCTTTGTCCTTCAGGAACACTCCACAGACATGGCAGCTCACCACTCCATGTATTTTTCCCTGGGAGACTTCTCCCAGCAGGCCTCTATCATTTTATTGTTGACAAAACCCAGGCTGTAGTAACAACTTATCAACAGCAAGTGAAGCCTTTCAAACGAATGTATTACTCAGCCCCTGCCAGCTCCTGTGAGAGCACAACACTTCTCTCCCCCTCCTCTGCAGGCTCTCAAACCTGTAATTACAGCATGGGAGTAGGAGAGCCACAAAGAAATGAAACACAGCACTGAGAAGCACAGCCATTCTTTAGCTAGGATTTCAGCCTCAAACCTAGCAAGCCTGGAGGTCTCTCCTCTTCTGTGCGTAACACAAAGGCCTCTCATTGCCACCAGACTCTCTGAGAGACATCAGCACATGGAGGAAAATATCTGACTTCCCCACTTGTGTATCTCACCCTGTGACAACCGCTGTACCTGCTGGTACGTGTCATTCAGCTCAGCCCTGACGAGGGGGTGCCACTCCCCCTTCAGATCTTGGAGACCTCCCACTGCAGGAACCAGCAGACCTCAATTTGGGAAATGAAAGGGTTTTATCACCAGAAGGGAACTCCCTACAGCAGCTCACTCCTATGCAGCATCACTCCTGGTGGGGCAGAAGGCCCAGTCAGCCTTCGAGCCACCAGCATCACTGCACAAAAGCCTTTGAACATCAGGAGCCCAGTTCTTCTCCCTGGCATCACTTTGCTAACAGAGAGCAGACTCTTCAGTCTTCTCAAGGGCCCTGGACCTTCCAAAAGCCCCTTCACTCCCTTGTTCCTTCCAAGTGTACTGGCCAGGATTGCAAGGGGACTATGACACAGCCACAAACCCGTGCTGCAAGAGCTCACATCCACTGAGATGCTTCAACACCTCCCACCAGAGCAGACATTAAAGTCTTGTGTGGAGTCTGCTCTCAGTCTCCTGCTCCCTGCACCATCCTACAGCTGGGTCCTAGACCTTGTACCATGGTCACCCAGAGTTTATTTCAGAATAGCATACAAGTGGCTCTAGATACAGTACAACGCAGCAGAACCACCAAGCCAGTAACAGGTGATGAAGCCAATGCAAGGCCACCAGCACCTCAGCTGACTTTCTGTCCTGGAGAAGCAACACTGCCAAGAAGGAATTGGGCTTTACAGAGCAGCCACATGCCCAGCAGCTCTCTCAGGAAACCACCCAGCTGGCAAGCCTCCAAGCCCAGTAAGATTCACTCTTCACTCCAGACATACGTGATCCACCCCAGCAACTGCAGAAGCACTGTCAGAAGCCCCAAGATGACACCATCCCTCAAGGCAGACCTAGGAGGTGAAGAAGCCTGGAGCAGCTGGACCTGTGGCAACTATAAACACCCAGGCACTAAACAAGAAGCGCTTGGTGACGGAGTCCAAAGTACATCATGGGCTGAGTGTGAACTCACATGTAAAAATAAAAGCCTGCTGTGAAATCATCTGCTGCTAAAGTATTTTTAAGTTATCTTTAGAAGGTTAGCCTAATGTCTCTGTTAGCTACTTTAAAATAAACAAACAAGTGCTGAGACAGTAGTCTGGGAGCCTATTTAAAAAGTGATGATCATAAATACCTGACTGATCTTGGTTACGTACAGGTTTTCACAGTTGTCAGCTCCTGATATGAAGCAGTACAGCTACAACTCAACTCTTCCACATCTAAGGTGTGGCAGTCTGCACTGCCAGGGGCTGTAAAAGGCCCATGAACTGGAAGCTCAGTTTTATCCATTTACAGGTGTTGCACACAGTTAATCCATCCTTCCCCAGACAATGAAAGAAAAACTATTAGCCACGATGCATGAGGGAAGCTGTCTGGATTTTTTTAAGCTGATTAAACTCAAAGAATCACAACGCAAGGGATGTTTCCACTTCAGCCAGAGGAGAAAAGGTTTACTTACTCACCATCCCTGCAAGTCAGACAGTCCTCACCAAAAACAGCTCCACTCAAAGGCTCATCACAAAGAATCCAGTTTCTGTCTCAGTGACCACGAGAGCAGGACACCCCACCACTGACAGCAGATACGTCCCCCTGGTTTTAATACCTATGTCTGAACACCACAAAATGTGATCTAACTACTTTCCCTCCTGTACAGGTGCCCGGCATGCCAGCCCCAGAGGCACGGTCAGGGACAACCCTCACCCCAAAGGCAGCCAAACCCTCCAGTTCCCTGGCAGTTAATCTCTCCAGAAAGCAGACTGTATGAGGACTGAAAAAACAAAAAGCAAAACCCACACTTCCACTTTCACAGTCATCCAGCACCCCAAAGGACTGAATCAAGCAAAGGCCACTGAGGACACGGCACGGAGAGGCCTTTGATCAGCAGTAACCATGACAATGCCAGGCCATCAGCAGCTTCTGGAGTCTCTCAGGCAACCAAAACACCCAGTGCAGTTCTCCTGCGTATGTCAGGGCACATATATCAGTTTTGTACATCCCCACCCTCCACGTCTGGCCCAGCAGGATGGCAGCAGGCATACTCACGATTTGTCTCTCCTGCAGGGCCGTCTCTGAGGGCTGCCCGGCCTGCGGCGAGGGGACAAGGACTTACCCCGGGACCTCTCCTTCACTGGAGAATGGGCACTGGAGGGTTTCAGGATCTGTCAGAGAACGGGGCAGGGAAGGAAAAGGAGTTGGATAAAGGCAGTGATTCACTGAAAATAAAAAATAAAGGGCCTCATGCAGTAGCTGGGATGGCACACAAAGAGCCTTCAGTCCCTCGGGGCTTATTCAAACCCTGCCCAGGTTAGGAGGAACCCAAAGCTGTTCAGAGGACCCCTGCAAAAATTAGTTGTTGTCACCAATTCAGCTCCAAGATAAAAAATGAAAAAAAGGTCTCATCCACAGCTTTCTTCAGAGCTGGCAACAGTGAAGGAGAAGAAAAACAGTTTTGAGCCTCAGCTGAAGGAAACTCAACACAGCCAAATCACACTCTCCAGCCTTCCTCTGCACAGACAGAGGCATCATCTCCTAGGCTAGCAGCTGGACTCCCTGTGACACTGGGACTTCGCAGCAGGTCTCTAACTTGCCTCCATCCCCCAGGACCTCCAACCTCAGAAGGCCATCAGAGCAACACTCACGCTCCAAGTTGTTTTTAAGACCCAGTCCTCCAAAACTGGCCCCTTCACAATGGAAATCCTCTGAATCCAGTGGCTCAAATTCTGAATTCATTTAAGGGAGGGGCCTTCAGCCTTCAAGGGTTAAGGGCTGTGGTCCTGGCCTTGAAGCACTTCCAAGGCCCAGCCCCAGTGTCATAGCTCAGCACACATGAAGAGCTGGTCTCTATCAAAAGCAAGTACTTAAGTTTAGGAAGTCATCCACCCACATGGACTTCTTCAAGTAGAGCCTGCTACAGCTGTTTGTTCACTAGATGGTATTAAAAGAGCATGATTAGAGAAGAAGGGGGATAAAAAGCTTCAGTACAAGCTTGCTGTATTCAACCATATTTGCTTAAGGTGACAGGAGGGTGCAAGTTAGCCCTCAACAGTCCTTGGCAGGGCAGGAGAGGTGGCAGCAAGACGTAGGGGCTACGATGCCACTGGTGACACTTACCCCAAGGTCAGGGCAAGGAGGCAGGCCCCTCAGCCAAAAAGACACGTGGCTGCTACGTAGGAGCCACTCCTCAGCGAGGCAGGGGTGAGAACCCAGAATAACTTGGAAGCAGTGCTGCGTGCTGCTCTGTGAGAGCCAGCTCCGAGTTTAGCAACACACCTGCTCTGCTCCCGCTGCCAGCAGCAGGCTGGGAAGGCACCAAATCCCCTTTCACAACGACCACAACCTGCTCCCTGCCCACGCCAGCTCCACAGGTATGGTCAGGGACACCCCTCATCCCCAAGGGCAGCCAAACTCTCCAGCTTCCTGGCAGGCTGCCCTGTCCCCTCGTCACTTCCCTCGGGGATCTTCAGTCCAACCAGCCAGCAGGGAAGCACCAGCCTGTCAGGGACTTGTTTTCCTCACCCTTCCCCTGTAACCCACTCTGTGACTCAGCCAGGTGTGGGGGGCATCTGGCAGCACAGGGCAAGCCCACCAGCACAGCCTGCAAGGAGAAGCAAGTGACACAGCTGTCCCATGACACCCCTTGGAGCTCAGGTGCAAAGAGCAGAGAGGAGGCCAGCCCCACCACCAGCTTCAGCCCCTGGTACCCTGGGGATCCTCCCAGCCACTTCCTTCTAGCGGCAATAAAAAAAGCAAACTGGGCAACAGCTCCTTGATGGTCAGGGAGAAGTATGGATTCAAGTGTTTCCCAAGCTGAGAGGAGATCTTTGAACTTATAAGGGCTTGAAAAGACACCAAACCCTGTGGGAGAACCACCAAGACAGACATAAACACATCCCCAGCCCACCCGTCACCACCTTAATCTCAGGCTGGGGTTAGTCTGCTGACACGGAGCAGGACAGGACAAGGCACACCCCCTCTGAGCCCAGTGCCCAGGCTCACAGACATACCTTCATCCTCAGATCCCTGGCAAACTTCTCCAGCTCCTTCCTAACTTCTGTGCGCATCATTTTGGATACATTGAGGACCAGCTGTTTCCACTCAATGGGCTGAAAGCTGTGAGGCTCATGCGGGACGTATAATCCTATTTTTACTTTTTTGACTGAATGCAAGTACTTTTTATAGGAGTCTTCAAATTCAAAGATGAGGTCGCTCAGAGTTCGGTAAGTGAGAGGCTTGTCCATCAGATCCGGCCGCCTGCTCATGCCCAGCGAGCCGTAGCCTCCCCGTCCCCGGGTAGCCGTACCGGCCGTTGCAGTAAATCCCGAGCACCACGTGATGAAAACAGTTCCCTGAGAAGTGGGTTTTAAAGCTGATGGGGAATCGTTCCACAGAGGGCTGCCCGTTCGTTAGGTATCTGGTGTCCACTACGTCAAGGCAACAATGGTTCTGGAGGGGAGCACGCACTATTGTCCTTGTAAGGCATCTGTAGCAGGTTTGGGTTTTTCTAACTGCCAGGGCAAGGGCTTTCTTGCAAACAGAAATTTATTCTTCTTGTGCCCCAGAAAAGGTCAATGCTGCCAAAGCCCATTTCACTGCTTGGAGTATAAGATGCAATGGTCCAGGCAGGGAAGAGCCTGACTTTCAACCACATTTCAGGAGGAAGGAATTAACACAGCGATGCTTGGGTCAGCTTGCCAGAAGAGAGATCATCCTCCCTGGACCTGTGGGAACTCCCCCAGTTGATACCAACATCAAACTCCCATGCTCCTGACAAGCAACGTTTTCTTCCATTTCATGCTGGAGCTTGGTACAACTCAGGTTACTGATCCTCATTTTCCTACATCTTCAGACAGTACAAAACCCCCTGAATTTACTCCTCTCCAGGGCGACGGGCCATCTGTATAGGAGCTCTCAGCATGGCTGCTCCTCATACAAGAGGGGGTTTGCACCTTACCCTTGTAACATGTTGCTGAACGAAGGAAAGCTCCCAGGCAGATAATTAATTAGCTGAGCCCAGAGACACAGTCAGGAACAAACATTTACAAAAAGCAAAACATGTGCCCTGAGTCACTGCCTGGCCGTTTCAGACACACCACAGGGGGAGGCCAGGGCCGGGCTCCAAGACAGCGCAGCAGGTGACCTCAGAGGGGAACCACGCACGGTGCCAGGTCACCCGCTGGCCGTGCCAGGGGCAGCAGAGTGAGATCCCCCAGGCAGGGGGCTCTGCGTCAGTGCCTACGCTGCGTGCGGCTCCAGCTGCTCGTCCTTGGACAGCTGCAGCCCACCCTGGCTCCACGTGCTGACACCCCGCCCCTGGCACGGCAGCTGAGAATGCCAGGGCACGCAGGAGGAAAGACCGACCAGAAAAGGCTACAGTAAGATGCTCCAGCCTGGGGTTTCTCCAGCCCAAGGCACCTGCTGTAACCCCAGAGGCAGATGAGGTCAAGGCAGCCAGTCAGGGTGCTGCCACTGTGACATATGCTGGCCCTAGGGGCACCACTGCCAGAACAGCCTCAGGGCAACCTGAGAAACAGAAGAGCTGGGTTGGCTCCTGATGGAACCATAGAATCTGGCTCAGATCAGGGTCCTGCTCTGGGGATCTCCAGCATTCCCTCCTCCCCCTACCCCATGCCCAAAAAGGAAGTTTTTAACAGCAGTGAAACAAGTGCCACCAGACAGCTGAGATGCCCTGGGATGTTACTGCGACCAGCCTTCCGACTGCCCGACAGCTGCTGGGGAACTGAGAACACAAAAAGCCTTTGTACCAACACCATAAAACACAATTCAGGCTCAGTCCTGGCTCTGCCTAGCCTGACACGTCATCTGGGCACCAGTGCAACTCCCCAAGGACGCTCACCCTCCATCCACACCCCACATTTCATCGCTTGTCTCTACAGCAATGCAGGAAAACCATTCAGTGGCTCTCATTTGTCTCCAAAACATCTTCTCAAGGGGATATTTCACCCACTTGATGCTTGTCGAATTTCACATATTCACACTTTTGCCCTCCAGGTGAACACAGAAACCACCTAGTAACAGATTTGTGAACTGCCCACACCCTGAGGTCAGCAGCAAGGAGTTAAACCTCTGTACAGGAAAAAAAAAATAAAAGGCAAGAAAAACACATTGGCAAAAATCTTTCAGAACAGCTACAGGGAAGCTTTTTGGTTCAGTGTCAGAACATATTTATCTGCATTCAGTGCTAGTTGTCATCAGCTTTAGCAGTCTGGAGAAAACGTATTAGAGGGTACAGAACAGAAGACATTATGGGCCCAGCCCCTGGAGCACTTGAGTGTGGACAAGCCTGCAAAGCAGAGCACTGACCTCCCAGCCACACACAGCCCCTCAGCCCAGCCACGGCTGGGTGCTCCCACCCCACCTACACCAAACACCCTGCAGCAACTGCCAGGGCTCACCCTGGCATCAGCTACACCAGCATGGAACAGAAATAGCTCTGTTGCCTTCAGTGGTCTTGCTGAACTGCTGTTGCAGGACCAGCTTGTCTGAGAAAAACCTCTCACCATCAGCAGAGTTAAAGATTATAAATACACTGCAAGGTCAGAATGGAGCCCAGCACTGTTACATCCACTGGAACACTCAGCCCCCAGTCACCTCATTTAAAGGGTCACCTTGCTCCAGGCCTGAAAAGGAGAGGCCTGTGTACATCAAAGTCACAGTACAACAATTTGTATCCTACAGACAAATACTTGCAGATGCCCATTGTATTTATCATTCTGTGTAACTGAAAAAGCAGTATCTTTTATTAACACCTATGAAGCTTTTAAACATCACCACTATTTTTCCCCTTCATTATGAAAGGGTTTTCTCTCCGCTCCCTGAGTGCTTTTCTATTAAGTCCACACAAAGCTTTGGTGACCACCTGCCACACATACACACTTCAGACACAAGGTCTCAGAGAAGTTGCAATTTAATCTCATTAAATACTAGGTAGGAGTAAAATAATCTTTTGAGGATGGAAATTACCCATCATCAAATAACCCAGCAACAACCGCTGTGGAAATTAACCTTTGGGTACAGGTTGTTTCTGCTGAGTGACTAGTTAATGAGAGTTCCCACCCGAGATGAAAAACACAGCAAACGGGTTGGAAAGGCATGTCAGATCTTCCCTTCCTTCCATGGATCATTATTATGTCTGTTCCATTCTGCTCTGCCCAAGGAGAGCTGTATTGTGGCAAACAAAAGGCAAGGACACAGCAATGCCACAGCTGTAATCACGCTTTTGAGCTGAGACTTGTCACTGGAGACGAGGAGTCAGGGAGTAAATTAGGTGCCACAATAGAGCAGCAGCACAGAGCAGGAGAGGGCAAAAAAGGCTGCCCCAAAAGCTCGGTGGCCTCCCCGTCCTGGGTCTTCATGTAAATAACAGCAGCAGAAAAACAGCACTGAGGGATGCTCATCTCCTTGGAGATCACACAAGAGGGATAGAATCACAGCATCACCATGGTTGGAAAGGACCTCCAGGATCATGAAGTCCAACCTCCCTCCCAACATTTCCCTAACCACTAGACCACAGCCTCAAGTGCCACATGCACTCATTGTTTGAACACCTCCAGGGCTGACTCCACCACCTCCCTGGGCAATCCACTCTCTCAGTGAAGAAATTCTTCCTACTATCTAATTGAAATCTTCCCTGCCACAACTTGAGGCCATTTCCCCTTGTCCTATCATCAGTAGTTTGGGAGAAGAGACCAACACCAGCCTCACTACAACCTCCTTTTAGGTAGTTGTAGAGAGTAACAAAGTGTCCTCTCAGTCTCCTCTTCTCCAGACTAAACAGCCCCAGTTCCCTCAGCCAGTCCTCATCAGGCATGTTCTCCAGCCCTCTCACCAGCCTCGTTGCCCTTCTCTGGACTCATTCCAACACCTCAATGTCCTTCTTATCCTGTGGTGCCCAAAACTGGGCACAGGACTCAAGGTGCAGTCTCACCAGTGTTGAGACCAGGGTCAGGATCACCTCCCTGCTCCTGCTGGCCACACCATTTCTGATCCAGGCCAGGATGCCATTGGCCTTCTTGGCCACCTGGGTATGCTGCTGGCTCATGATACTAATCTTCTGGCTGACCACCTCTGGTACCAACATCCCTCCTCTTCACCTATAGAGAGGAACTGCACAGTATCTGGAGCTCCATCAGGGCCTCACAAGCATGGGCTGGTATGGCACATCCTCATCCCCCAGGGATTCCCAAGCTCTGCCCACCCTGACTCTCAGATCTTCTGCAGCCTCATACTAGTCCCTCAACCCTCTTCCACCTCACAGAGATACTAGTGCCTGGTGGCCAGGGCTGCATATATTCAGCAACTGATGAATTCTGGTCTCTTACTCCATGAGGCTGAATCTGAAAGATACAGGTTTGGGTCAGAGGAGCATGAGAAGAACTGGGCCCAAAGCATACATCACACTTTGGGGGTGGCAGGTCATTGGTGTAAACAGTTATGTCTGTGTGAGCAAGTAAGCCTTCTGGAGCACACCAATGCTGCCAGCAGCCTGCAGAAAGGGCCACGTTTCCAATGCCAGCATGCAGCTCCTACAGATCTGCACATCCACACAAAGCACACCATCCCCTGGAGCCACAGGCAGTTGTGTCCCACAGTCCCATCACCTCCACCACCCAGGCTCACACACAATCTAGCCTGGATATCCAGAGACATTCAGATCCCAGGCTCAAATACAAGCAAGACTGGGGACACAAAACCTGCACTCCAGCCACCACCTCGATCTTCTTGAGCAGTGGGGCAAGTGAAGAGTAGCATCCTTTCAAAGGAGAAGCAGAGCATTAGTTAAGGTGGCAGCTAAATCAATCCCTTCGTTTTAAAACTCTGGAGCAGAAAGTACCTGGATGGGTTTTCTTTAACTCTGCACACTCACACAATGACTCAAACAATTCCCTTCCATGGTTTGTTTTTTTTTTTTCCTCCACTTTCTAGTGAACTCTAATATCAAAAATGTCCCCACAAAGAAGTTCCAGCATCTTCCCCTCCCAGTACAGACCCATCCCCACCCAGGTGCCCCCACTGCCGTGCACAGAGCAGTTTCCAGTCAGGAGAGACACTTCGAAGCCTTTCACACCTTCTTTATTTGCCAGCAGCAACTTTTAGAGAAAACATTTTCTCTTGGTTGGTTTGTTTTTCTTCTCTTATTAATACATAATTAGAGCAGGACCTTTCCATGTGCCAGCACATGGCTTTAAAACATTTCTGGAAGTAGGTCTTCACTGCTCACAGCACCCACCAGACAGCAGCTGGCTCCCTGGCGCTAGGTGAGCTCAGGTTACCTGCCACCAGCAGTTTTCCCACCTCCACAAGGAACCACAGCATGGAAAGCAAGGGGACACGCTGTGAGGACCACAGCCCACCTGTGTCTAAACCAACTCCAGCAGGACTTCAGCCAGGAGGATCAAGCTGGTGCTTTGCCAAGCTGACAGGCAGCAACTGTGCAAGATGTGCACTAGCAAGAGGTGAGGAGATGAGTGCCACCCCTGCACCCTGCCTCCTCCCCTGCAGCACCAAAAGGGACCCAACCCACTGAGACCTCCAGGGGCATGGAGCATGAGGAGACCCTCCTCAGAGCCCCAAAGAAGAAAAGCCCTGCAGAGCCCACAGCAGCTCAAAACAAACCAAGGCACATGCAGGTTTCATATGTAAATGCTGGATCAATTGCTTGCCCAGACCTGCCCACCAACACTGATGCCCTGGTGGGTCTAACCAGACCTGCCCCCCAACACTGATGCCCTGGTGGGTCTAAGCACCTAGCTGTCCCAACACTGATGCCCTGGTGGGTCTAAGCACCTAGCTGTCCCAGTGCCCAGACACACAAGTGCTTCTCCTCCAGCTGCAGGAAGATCCAGCACCACACCTGACACCTTCTGGTTTCTCCACTATGAGTCCCACTCTGCCTTGCAAAACAGACAGGAAAGGGAAAGCCAGATGAACTTGATACTGAGCAAGTGAGTACCTGTCATGCTCCTTGTGCTAATCAACTTGTTATTTATTATAAGTTTGAAATTCTCCCTTATTTAACTCTGATAAGATGATATTGCAGCACTTCGTATCTTAAAGCCCAGCATGGGTGTTTTTTGATGAAGTCTGATCGAGTTGAACACAGAAAACCATGGGGTGTCTGGTCCCCACCTTTCCTGCCATTCACAAGGGCTGGGGAAGCACAAACCAGGCACCCTGAGCCATCAGGGCACATGCAGGCTGGAAGGGGGGAGACCAGGCTGAGAGGAGTGAGCAGGCAGCTTTATTTATGCTAGCAGTGCTGAAGCTGCTAGCTCAGAGTGAGGAGGTGGAACAGGAGGAAAAGAGATCTCAGGATTCAAAACTGTTAGATAGGGCTACAGTAAAAACAGAAGATCTTTTTCCCAGCAATCAAGCAACTGCTCCCAATGTCAGAGGGCCTACAAGCACCAGCAGTCAATGCTTGCACAAGTTTCCAATCACAGCCTGGAGTCAAGACAGCATTTCTGACAGGCTCCAGGAATGAAGAAACCCCAGGTTTGGGATTGCTTACCGTGAGGCAGAGTGCTACAAAGCTCACATCTGCACAGAGAGCCCACATTCCTCTGACAGCCCCAGTGCCCAGGAAGGAACAGCTCGATCAGCTGGCTCAGCTGTGGGGCAGAGGGTGGGCCTGTCAGGTTGGCATCCCTTGTTTTGAGGCACCTGTTCTCCAGTGCCTGGCACAGTCTGAGGTGACCAGCTTAAGATTAGGCTGTGACGACAGAAGCAATTAAAAGCTCCCATGTCCTCTCAGCCACTAGAGGGGCTGTAGATACTCAGCAGGACCCTCCTTGCCTATTTCAATAAGCGAGTGAGTTGAGCTGTGAACAAGTAGGCAGAGGGCAAAAAGGGACACTGGGGACATCAATGGCCTACAATGATTGCAAGAAATTCTCCTTCTTACTAGCCCAGAGACGTATCTGCTAGGCAGGAGAAGCAGGAGCAGGATAAGCCCAGGATAAACATCATCCACAGATTAAATGCACAGAAGGTATAGTGCAGAAGCTATTAAATAACTTCTTCCACCTGAGGCACTGCTGCTCTCCTCTTCCTCATTTAATAGTATTATTGGACAGAGGGAGGTCTAATACACTGCATGGGTCTGACGGTTACCTCACATGAGCTGAGAGAGGCAGGCTGAAGGCAAGAGGGGTGAGTGAGTTGTGTTTACTGAACACAGACACGCTCTGCGGGACTCCCCGAGGATGGACACCATGCTGCTTCCCTCTCTCCCCTCTGACATTCTGCTATCCCCATTGTAATAAACTGAACAAAACATGGATAAAATTCCCTGGGCAATTTCTGTCTTTGCTGAGAAAGAATGGGCTGAACACACCATTACTCAGCTGATTCACAACTGAAGGGAGAAATGCCCTGGGGAAGACAGCAGGAGGAATGTCTCTGGTCAGGCACGGATGAGCAGACTGTCTAAGCAGAGAGACACGGAGCCAGTTCAGACAGCTGCACAGAGAACATGATCAGTGCAGATTAATGCTAAATAATATAAGAAGATCTGTACAAGCTTTCAGTCATCTCACAGCAGCTGCTCCCTTGGTACGTGCAGACAGGGTAGCTCCATACTTTAACTCATCGCCCTAAAAAACGCTTCACGAGATAGCATGAAGGCAATTATGCAAAACTTCATTCTGCACCACGAGGGATTACAGAAGCACTTCATAAGAAGTCACACAGTAGAAGGCCACTGCACAAGCCAGCAAGCAGCTCTGTTAAAACGACATCTTGCTAAGCTGCTCTGTGGAAGTCTGCCTTTGACTGAACTCTCACACCAAGGGTCCACTGTAGTGGGCTGTGCTTTTTAGTGTCCAAGCAACACGGCAAAGCCTGCCAGCACACAATTTACAAGCAGTACCTTATTTCCAGAGACAGAGAAGGGAACCAGAGGTTAACACACCTACATGCAGGGATGCTCCGTTTGGGTATGTGAAGGTGTTGGAGAACACTGGTTTGACACTCCAGAGAGCATGCAAGCACATCACTCATCTGGTAACTGCCTGACCTGGGAAAGCAAGTTGTGCTTTGTGTACCCTCTTTCCAAATGAAAAAAAAACAGTCAAAACTTTTAGATCAGCAAGAATCCTTTGAGCTGATCATTGTCATCAGTATGCTGCCAATATCTTCACACCTCTGCTCGTGTGGTATGTGGAATAATCGGTGCAGTGCTAGAACTAGAGCACTGGAAGCCATGCTGACACTGCAGAGCAGCACCAGCTTCACCTGGGCATTACTTCCCCCACCCCTTTCATCCTCAGTTTCAGACACAACCTTGACACAAAGGCAAGCAAACCAGCTCCACTGACATCACTCCCATTTCTGGGAGGGTATTGGTTTGAGTCTCTTGCTGACATGGAGCCCCCAGGAGCCCCACCCCTCCCTCAGCTGCACACAGACCCTGCCAGAGCTCGCAGAGGAAGCCCTGTAAGGCTGAGCCCCCTTTCAGCCCCAAAGCCTGTCCCTGGTGCACCAGGAGCCAAGGGAGGACCACATCTGGCTGCAGGACTCCCACACAAACCTCTTGGCTTGGCCAATGTCCCCTTCTCCCCTTCCCAGGCCACCGCAGCACTCCCCCCCCCCCTCAGGAGCCCTCACCAGGCAATACCAGCCAGGCTCTGCCAGCACCTCCTCCCACAGGAGGGGGCAGCAGCAGCCAAGTAAAAGGCCAGGGAGACCAGCCAGCAGCTCCAGGGTTTATTCTGGGTGGGGTTTTTGCTTTGTTTTAAATCAAACCCCATCAGTTGTGGTAAGATGTATCCAGCATATTATTCCTGGAACCCTGTCTTACCCTGCTCTAGTTTTAGGATGATGTATGTTGATTTATAAGTGACAGCACAAGAGGGTCAAGAAGTGAGTCAGTCCCTAAATGAAAATATTCTTTTTTTTTCCTGAGACTGAATAAGAAGCAAATATTACTTTAAGGTAAAGTTTAAATGTTTAACTATAATACACACATTTCTGCACAAAGCACAGAGTGGGCTGAGAGACAAAAACTAATGTGATTGCCATGTAAACACTAGACAAACATATGATAGAACCTGCATTCCTCAGGTGTTACCAAGCTCCAGAAATATTCAATAAAGAAATACTAATGAAGAAAACAAGTGTCTGTCTGCAAAGGCCCTATCTGGGCACTCTGGGTCAGATCCTGACGTCATGCAGGTGACCAGGGCAGAAGTCAAAGGTGGCACAGCCAGAGCATGACACTGGTGAACTGGGCATACAGCATCCAGATGCCTCCTCACACATCTAGGTGATTTGGCAACTTGTTGACCAGCACCACAGCAGTTCCCCAAGCTGCTGGCACTCACCTTGGGCTGGGACCATCTCAAACAGCATCCAGGCAAGGCAATACATTGAACAGTGCTGCAGTGGAAAGTCACAGGCACATGAAAGGATACATCCCCAGGATAACTGCTTCAAGGCATTTGATAGGTAAGGACTCCCTGGTCATTTCTTTTGCTGTCTCCATTAACCTAAAACAGAAACAAAGAAGTTTTGAGTCCTTTCACTTGGAGCAGCTGACAGGAATCAAAGGGTTCTCTCACCCACGGAAAGCCAGGCACCTCAGGTTATCTCAGAAAGTGCTGGTGAACTTGGATTTTCCTATTCAGCAACTTGCCAGAGCCCTGACGACTTCTGGAGGGAAAAAAAACCCAAAATGTTTGGCCTCCCAGTGCTTTCCAGCCCCTGAAGATGGGCTGGAGGAATGCAGTCCTCTGTGCCTCTACCAGCAACTCCATGAGCATCACTGCAGGCTCTAACACAAAGCTGAGCTGCAATAGCTGACAATCATGGAATCTCCTACTGCACGACCAAGTTTAGCTTATTTTCAACAGACACAAGAGAGAGGATGGCTACACGATGGCCCCCTGAAAGGTACACATGCCCCTGTGAGCCTATAGCTCTAGGTGCAGAAGATGATTTAATGCCTTTTTATGAAAGCCAGCTCTGCAGGAAGATCTGCCAACACAGATCATTCACACCACTAGAAGCTGAGATTTCCCCCCCCCTCATTTTACTGCTGCTCCCCACCTCCTGTGGGCTGGGAAAGTGGTAAAAACCATAGGATTTCCAGCAGGAGTACATGCCCAGGATCTTGCCAGCTCACACAGTTTAGTGACAACCTGGACTCTATCTTTGGAGAAGAGTTATCTGACAGGGACAACACTGCAGTAAAAAACACACAACCTGATCCTGGCTCAGTTGAGAAGACTGTCGTGCCAGACTGACACCACACCATCAGCCAACCAGGTACCCTATCCACCCTCCACAGGCAGATCCTGATATCCCAGATTGTTTAAAAAAAAATGGAAGGAGGTTAACAAAAGGTCAGAAGAGTCATATTCAATGACACACAAAAAAACCCAACACCACACTAAAAAACAACCAAAGGATGACTTCCTTTTTGATGTCTTCTCTATCCATATCATTTTCTTGAGCAGTGCTTTGTAAACAGATCCCTACTCAAAGGAAACACATTATAAAAATATTTGTGTTAGAGAAAATGATGAAAAAATGCATCTGAAACCATTAGATTAGAAACCAACTGTTTCTCCCAGTTTCTAATTTGCCCACCTCACGCATTTTAAATCTTACAGTGAGTGCAAATGGCAATGCAGCTTCCACTGAAGCTGTGATGTGATTACACCCTGTCATAGCCGTCCTGTGTCCCATCTATCCACATTAGAAATTATCTCTTCATTTGTAAACAACCACCCTTTACACTCTGCCTGCAATACAGAACCCAAATTAGCTTGCCTGCCTCCTACACGCTCACAATCTGCCACAGAACCCCCACTGCTGGAAGCAGGGAGCAGCTCTGGCAAGGGAGCACAACAGGGGCCTTCTGTCCCCAGCAGCAGCTCCTCAGTGCTGGTCACACCAGTAGCCACTGCAAAGCCCTGTCTCCATCCAGAGGAGTGTCCCATGCAGATGAGGCACAGGAGGTATCCATGAACAAGTTGATCAATTCAATTTCTTCTAACTCCAGGGGAGATAAAAAAAAAAAAAAAACCAAACCACACACACCCCACAAAGAGCTCATAGCTGATTATGAATATGCATCAGAAGCAGGAACCAGCTCAAGCTGTAAAGCTGTTCATTTTAAGCCATTTAGTGTGGTCTCTGGCTGGTTAACGTGGTCCAAGGGGCAGGGCCAGCACCACCTCCTCAGATCTGCACCTATGCTGACCCTGCTGCTGGCAGGCAAACACAGTGACTGGAGCTGCCCTGTCACCCCCTGCAGAGTTACATCTCCTCACACAGCTTTCAGTAAGCTCTCTGCTGTCAAGATTTCAAGGTCTTGTCAGCATGAAGACAACATTAATGTTCCCTGGCTTCACAGCCAGGGAAAAAGACTTCCAAGTAACTGGCCTAAATAAGCAGTCAAATTACTGCTGACTTACCTGTCACAGCAATGCTCACACTATTTAAGCACCCAGTTGTATTCAACATGCACTATTCACAAGCCACACAGGCTGGTTCTGAAACACAGCTCTCCAGAATGCTGTGTGGTCACTGAGACAGATGTCAATTAACAGGAGAGGCATTTTGCTTGCTTGCAAACACACTGCCCACTACTGCATGGGTACTGCAGCTGTCCCTTCTGTGCTGAGGGCAGCCCTCCCTTCCCTTTACCTACCACCATCAAAAGCTGGGCTTGGCAGGGACCCTGGGCACCCCACTGTCCCACCTCCTGCTCAAAGCACAGGGCTCCAGGAGCAGCAGCAGGTGCCCACACCCCAGATCATGGCAGTGATGAGGATCTGTGCAAGGGGAGCACCAGACCAGAGGCATCACCAGTGATCAGCAAACAGGAGTCCCCCTGCACCCAGAGAGCAGGTCACACCAGAGCCTTGGGGAATGCTCTGCAAGCAGTTTGCCTTTTTTTTGTGTTTACAGCAGAAACCATGAGGTTCACACAGATGACCCAGTTCAATAGCCACTGAGAGTTTTTTCTCCTGCTTTTAAGGAGCTTGAGACAAAGCATGACCTTAAACCCTGTGTCTGTGTTGGAAGCAGAGCCTCTGGAGAATCCCCAAGCCACTGCTCTGCCCAAAGTAGCACAGCCAAATCTAAATCACTCCTCACAGGATTTTCCAACTTACTTTTAAGTGCCTTCTCAAAGGCTTGGGAACCCACCAATCTATCCTATACTTAACTTTGCATCTAAGAAGGTCCCCTGATTTAAAACTAAATCTTCCCCTTTTTTGCAATTTAAATCAGAAGCTATTTCTGCTGTGTATGGTGGGCATCCAGACCATTTATTATCTCTCCTCATGCACCAGACATTTGCATATGCAACAGGCCATAATCTACCCTCTCCTCTGTAAACAGGAGAAAGGAGACACAGGCTTTGTTTGTTTTTAATCCCTCCCTTTCTCACCTCAAAGCTTCCCCCTTAGGTCACCTTTTCTAGACTCCAAGCAATGTTTGTTGCTTTCCTTTAGGACTTTCTTCAACTGCCTCACATCTCATGGTCCTTCAGCTAAGCCCACCACACCACAACACAAACAGATCTGTTTCCTTCTCAATCCAAGTTTTAGTATGTTTTTGTGACCAATCCATGTGCTGTTGTCTTTTTCCCTGTAGACCCACACCAAATGCTGGGGAAGTTTTGTTTGTTGTTTGGTTGGTGGTTTGTTTTTTGTGGGGGTTTGTTTGCTTTTTTAAGATCAACTTCTCCTTTGCAAAGCTAGCCTTTTGTTCTCCACTGTGTATTCCCACAGCTGGCTGTTCCCACAATATTCCCAAAATATTCTCCTCTGCATTTGCCATTACTGAATTACCTCCTGTTTGTTCCAGCCCAGCTCTCACTTACCCTTCAAGATCACTCTGAGTCCATGTTCCACCTTGTAAAGCCCTGTCACCTTGTCCAGCCTGGGCCACAAAGCACATCTATTCACCAACAGTCTCATCTGCACCACTAACAAAAAAACACTGACCTGGGACAGGGATTGCACCCCTCAACTGACAAGCTCTGCTAGGCAAGAACAAGCTGCCAGTGGGGCACCACTTCCCAAGCACTGCTTTTCACCAGGCTGGGTCCTTGTGTTAAAAAGTTCTATTTAGATGGAGGTCCCTGCCTTATCTGGGGGCTGCCCAAAGCCACACTGGAGCAAAGTGTTATCACATCCACAACTTCTCCCTGACTGACAAAAGCTCTTACACTCTCACGGAAGGGAATGATCAGAAAAACTGTGCCAAACTAAATTCTCATTGCCTATCATGTGCCCTGAAACTGAAGATAAACTCAGAAAGTTCCTAGATTTAACTTCTCCCTTATTTATTCTTAAAGGCTGATATCTTTGTCTTCCCCAGTTCCCAACAAGAGCGTCTATCCTCCCCACACTAACAGAAGTATTAATGGTTTGGAGTTTGCTTGTCTGTTCTGAGTGATCTAGGACAAATGATGGAGCATCTAGCTCATTTGAAGAATAACTCACTATAAGTGCTCTTTGACTTCTCCTTTCCCTGTTTTCTTTCACTCCTAAATTCTTACTGTGCTGTCTCAGAGCATGGGGGCAGCCCATCTCTTCCAAGAACTTGAAGGAGACTGTTCAGTCAAAAATAAGTACCACACAGCTTCCCTTTCTGCAGCATTTACACCACTAACTAAAGTCTGCCAGGCAGATCTCTATTCCAGACCGTGGTGAAACACTTCTGCCTCTAACAAAAGTAAACACCAGGAACAGGCTGTGTGCTCCTCCATCAAGACCCAGTCCTGGGCTGATGGTGATATTTCCTTGTTAACTGACTCAAATTTCCTTCAGTCCTTTCAGGAACCCACCTGGATTATTTCCCCTGCTTTCTGTAGTAACAGAGGTCCTGCAGAGGAGTTGGGTTTGCCTCATCAGGCTGTTTCCTGTTTAAAATGGCAGTGTCTGCAGACATCTCATGGGAACCATGAACTCCTTTCGCTCCCAGATTTTTACCTAGGGCAGCCAATTTCATATACAGGTTAGAAAAAGCTTCAAACCTCTTAGCATGCCCAAAACCAGCTGGTGCCCATCACACTGGAGTCACTTCAGAGATGACCATGCTTCGGAGGAGAAGTTACCTTCACCAGAAAGACTTCTACAGACTTCAGTAAAAATTGTATTAGTGAAATCCTCCAGCACGTTCTCCACAAACTTCTCCTTCCCCAGGCATGAGCTGGAGGCATTTATTTGCAAGAGGTCCATAAAATCACCCTCTCCAAAGTTTTACTAAGTCTCCTGGCACTTTTAGTCTTCCCAGTGAAGCCTAGAAGTGGAATGCACCAACAGGAGTGAAAGGAGATAGAACAACAGAGCAGCTAGTACTCTCATGAACCTCCTCAAAACCAGTTTGTTTCAACGGCAGAAGCACATTAGTACCTGCTGCACACCGCACCGTATCTGCAACATTCTCCCTTTGTGTGACAGAGAGCAGATGTTCCAATGCCTTCTGCAGTCTACTGTCTGGAAATGGTACGAGTCCATTTTTTTTAACAGCCCCATCAGGGTTCCTTAGCAACACAGAGTGCTGGAACAGGGATATTCTCCATCCCCCTCTTCGCTGCCATACCGACACTCGCACCCTGGATTGCGGCTGCTCCCCCTCTGCCGCTGGGGGCCACTGAGACAGGGACTCCAGTGTGGGGCTGCAGCAGATGGCGTTCACGGCCTCGGTGTGATGGCTTCCCTGTGCCCAGCCAGCCCACAGCACCCCTCACGGGCAGCCTGTGCTTCCCTGACACGGCCACACCTTCCCCACGCAGCCTGTGCTTCCCTGACACGGCCACACCTCCCACCCGCAGCCTCTGCCTCCCTGACAC